ACAGGCGGTACTTGAACAGTGTTCAGATGCCCTTCTGATGCAGGAGGCCTTATGTGCACACTTTCGCCGCCTGGCAACATATGGCGAGAAGCAGATAGTATACTTGAAGCATCTCCAGATGATGATGTAAACTTCCGTGCTCTAAACAGAAGAGAGGCCAATTTTCCTGGTTCAAAGGATCAAGAAATTACTTCAGATTTATACAAAAGATTTCCACTATTCTTCGAGAAACGAAATAAAAATCTATCCACCATAATTCTGCATTTCTGATAAGTCAAAAATCTGCAAGGCTTTATAAACACAGACATAGAATAAATGCAAAACATTGAAGCTATATTTGTTTGCTTGATAGTTACGCATCAAAATTTTGAAACTTGGTAGTAGCCCTTAACTAGATATAGCATAAAAATCACATCCCCGGCAAAATAAGTTAAAATAAATCCAACCCAGCAACAATAACATAATAATATCTGAAATCCATTTCCATTTTCATTATTTCTCGAAAACCAAACATAAAAGGCGCGCAACTAGTGCATTACTCTCATAATTCAAGCTCAAGCAAAACAAAAAACTCAAGAGAGAGAGAGAGAGAGCACTGACCAGCTGGAAGATGGGGTTTGGGGGAGATGATGTGATCGGAGGAGGGTGGAGAAGAGAAGCAAGAGCTGCATCGGATTATCACTGCCATTTTATTTTTATTATCGCTTTGGTGGTTTCAAAGAGGATAAAACGGTGGCTACTGATGTTTCTGTTGGCATTTTATGTCTCACTCAATCCCTTGGGAGGTGGCAGCATGAGACAAAACGTTGTGGGTGCTGCCGCTAAATCGCCATTGTTTTCTTTTTTTCTTTTTCTTTTTTTTGTTTTTTTAAACCAACAATAAATGCTGCCACAGTTGAGACTCCGTTGATTTTTCCAGGGGGAGGAAAATAATAATTTCATTTTTAAGTTTAATCTCAACAATTTAATAATATTTTTTTATATAATAATATTTTTTAATATATATGTATATGTGTATATAAAATGATATCTAGGTAAGTTAATATATATCTCAATTAATTTTAAATATTTTAAAATTAATATTTATATAAGTTTTTAATAACTCTAATATTTATAAAATTTGAATTAGTAATTTTTAAAAAATAAATTTAATATCTAATTAGTTAAATTACACCCTTTAAAATTATATTTTTTTATATGACATCTGATGTATTACAGGTATATTTTATGACAAATTTTTTAATGGGATTTGCATTGATACATTGATGGTTGATTATTTTTTAATCAACCAATAAAATATTTTTTCAAATTTTTTTAGATTTTATCTTATAAAAATAAAAATAAATACTAAAATTTTTTTGGTAAATAAAAATAATTGTGTATATTTTTCTCTCTCTTTTTGAAAATTCTTAACATTGTTATTAACCAGGTTATATTTTTTAATTAAATTTAAAAAAAATAGTACCAATCACATAATCTTATTTTATCGATATATTGAAAGATTTCATTTTACAGTGCATTGTTGCGCATAGTTTCTCATTTTATTATATACAAAATTGTTCAATAAACAATATTGTTTTTTATTTTTTTATTTTGATCATTAATTTTTTTAATTTTATCTTTTTTTTAATGTGATGTTTGTTATATTTCATGTGCTCATGTTTTTAGTAAATTTTTATAATGTTAAAAAAACCTTTCATTTACTCTTTTTACTTTTAGAATTTTAAGTTTGAGCTTTAAATTTTATTTGTTTTATATTTTAATTTTTCATTGCAAGAGATGAAAGAAAAGTCACTAGAAAAATAAAGAATAAAAAAGAAAATTATTGGTTAATCATATTATAACATAAAAAAATTAATTTTAGTATCATTTTGTTTTTTTAATGAGAAGATTATCATTAAGATATTTTTAATATTTTATGTTGTTGAACAAAAAAGTTTCAAGGCTTGGAAATATTTATTTTTACTCGGTTTAAATTTAAGTTTTTAATACAGTCAAGCTTGTGAATACTAAAGATTTTGATGATTCAAATAAAAATTTGATAGAACCAGATGAGAATTTGACCTATATATATTATGTGGATGGTCCAATAAATATTTTTATGAATCAATAGGATATGTCTAAGTTTAAGAGGTGGTTTAGCTATAACAAACTAGATTAACACCTTAAAACAATAATAATAGGAGATTCAACCATAAAATCAAACTTGAATTTTTCTCTACATAATTTTATATGTATTTTTTTTTTATTGGAAGTCACTTTATCACTTGTTGGACCATTAAATCTCTTAGAATTAAGCTTGAAAATTGATGTTTAGGCAATTTTTTTGTTTTTCCTAGTTTTTTTCAAATTTATTATTTGAATTTTCTTTATGCTCTCGGACTTTTAATTATTTTCTAGTAGATGTAGAGTTTTATAACCTATTAAAGTCTTATAAACCTCTTAAAGAAAAGGCCACTATATACTTATTTTTTTATTTTTTTAGTGAATAAAATCATGAATTTAAAGTTTACATTTGTAACTATTTTTGTTCATCAAATCTTTTTATGTTTCATATGTTTTTATTGTCCTGGCAACATCAATTTTTTATTGATTTAAGGGTGGTTAAATATCAAAAAGGGTTTATTTATATGTTTAAGATGTTTTTTATATGCTTTCAGGATAAAATGATTGTAAAATAATTTTTAAAGTCTAAAAACTTGGATGTTGACTTTTGAGCATTTTTTATAACAATAATTTTTATTGATAAATATCATTATGTGTGTTTATCTTCTTTTTTTTTATAAATAGGATAGATGATATGTCGTTCACCCTATAAACAAAAATAAAAATTAAAAAATCAGGTTCACATGCACTTAAAATTATTTGTATTGAGCTTGGCAAGTTGACCCAACTTTTCAAACTTCATCTCTTGGTCTTTTTTCAGACAACCCCTTATAAAACATAAAAAAAAAAAAATTATATCGTGTTATTTTTCATTGTAATTTTTTAACAAAAAAAATTATATTATGATTTTTGTTTATCTTCAATTCAATATAAAATATCAATATTCAGTACATAATAAGTTTTTTGTTTTAATTAGAAAAACACTTGTGATAAAAAAGATATTTTTTAAAGAAAGAAAAAAGAAAAAGAAAGGCATTACTAAGGAAATGTAGTTTAAATTATATATATATTTGCTTATTTTAAATGATTCAATTTTTATAAAATATTTTTAATTGCCTTTAATTCTAATTAAAAACCATCCCACTAATAAATAAAGTATTTTGATTAAAAAATACATAAATAAGAAAAGAATAATCTATGGGTAAATAAGTAGTATTATATAATACAATTTCAAAAAACAAACAAACAAAACCATTAATACAAACAAGAAAAAAAATAATTCATAAACTCCACACATCTTTAACATTAACACTAATAATCTAACTCACCATAGCAACAAAGTTTCAAGAAATGACAACATTAACAACATAATTGCAACGTCCAAACAAAATAATTAAAAAAAAATCTTGATCCCCTTACTATAGATTCACACAGTTACATTTTTATTCACTTTTTCCACAAAAAAAATAAAATTAAAGTCATTTATAAATTAAATAGAATAATTTATTTATAAATATATTTGTTATATTTTAAATAAAATTTCATTTAAGTTTTAATTGATTTTCAAATATGATTATAACAATTTTTCTAGTATTAGCAAAAATTTTTGTGCAACCCTATATGATATTTTTTTTTCTTGAGTTTTATTAAATTACATCTCCATATTCTTTTATGTTTATTATTTTTTAATCAGAATTAATTAAAAAAAAACACAATTACCAAACTTAATCAAGGCATTGGCTATTATGTGGGATTATATTTTTTAATTTGTATTTATCTCTTAACCTTTTAATTTAGTTTTATGTTGGCATTAACAAGTCTATTTTTTATTTATTGAGACATTTGATTCTTGATTTATTTAATTAAATATATGTATTAATATTTTACTATTTTCTTATATAAGAATAGGGGTTTACAATGCATCCACATTTATTTTGTGTTAAATAACTTTTGATCCAACTTGTGACAAAGTACAAGTCAATTAAATAAATTCTTTTTTATTTAATATTATTTAATTTTTGTTGTGTTTTCAAATGAGATTATAGAGGTTATTTTTAAATATTATCAAGTGTTCTTTTTGTGCAACCTGTTATAGTCATTCTTTATATATATATATATATATATATATATTTTATTTGGTTGCTTTACTATGATTTTTTATTTTTGTTATCTATAATTAAATAAAAAATAAAATTTTGAAAGTAAATTTATTAAATCTAATCGAATTCATGACTCGTGTCACGAGTTTGACAGGTTGACTTACGTCAACACAAGATATTATCGTCTCAATATTAAAAAAAATAATAAAATCTTCAAGTTTATTTTAGATCAAATCGAGTCTTGATCTGTTGTATAGCCTGTTTTTAAAACTATATCTATATCTTAACTTTGAAACTCAATCTTAAAAAAATAACATATAAGCAACACAAGATATATGTTTTCATTGTTGTCAATTTTAGCCCGTTTAATTTTGTTTTTATAAGAAATAAAAACAAATTTTTTTATGTTTTTTATTTGTAAAATTAAGTATCAACTTGACTTGTATTTGATATTTTTATAATGACATAATAACTAAAATAAAATATCAAATATAATTCTTAATAAAGATAAAATAAAAAAAAAATTAGAAGAGTTAATTTTTTTTTAAGAACTTTAGAAAGAAAATGAATGGAATGTGAGAAAACTCTTAACTAGGCTTCTATTGTCTATTTGGAAATGTATTTATTGTTATTTTGTAAAATTTTTTATTTAAAAATATATTAAAATAATATTTTTTTTTATTTTTTAAAAATTATTTTTAATATCAGCATTTTAAAATAATTTAAAAATATTAAAAATTATTAATTTAAATAATTTTTTTTTTTATAAAATATTTACAAAATAATCCGGAGGCCCAATGTCCTCGTCAAAGTGCAAAGGGTTTTTGGTCTCTCGGCTTGTAAGTGGAAAAACCTCCCTCTCAACCTCCCTCGTATAGCTTCTTCTCTCCTCTGACTGGGAGTAAAGCATCCTCCTGAGAGGCGCACTTGCCACTTTAAAAGGAAAGGAAACGAAATGGAGGATGTCGAAATGGACGTGTCCAACAGCTACTCCGACCCCGAAGATCTTACCATAAGAGAACAGTTTCGCCGTTACGGGTGACTGCCTTCCTTCTTCCCTTTGTTTATTTAACTTAAAATTGTTTAGCTAGGGTTCTTTCTTTTGTATTCTTTTCTTTGCGCTTCTCCAATTTTCGATATTTTGGCTAGTTTCAACTGTAATGACGGAATATATTGTGGTTGTTTGCTTGGTTGGTTCGTTATGAAACGTGAAAGATCAAAAGGAGAATATATTACCAAACCAATGTTGATGGATTTTGTGTTGCAATTTTTTGTTTTATTTTTTTATGCGTACCTCTGTAAGAACTTCAAGAATCATGAATTATGTGCAGCAAAAGGCACTCGATATCAAGCGTTTCACCCCATCAAGATGGTCCCGTTTCCAAGTTCAGTGAGTCCAGGCTGTTGTATGATGGGAATAATATTCACAGCCCCACCAATGCTGCACTTATTCTAGAAAACATCAAGCAAGAGGTTGACAGCATTGAGACCTATCATTTTGAAGGTGCTACTACGCCCACGAGGAATCAATCTGCAATCAAAAGGAGATCGTCTGTTGATAGCCGTGGTGGATTTTCAGAGGCTGATCTTGGTATTGATTCAGTTGCTCGATTTGGAAGCCAATCACTTAAAGCTTGCAAGATTGAGGATGAGACATTGACGGATAGTGGAGAGACTACTTTTGGTTTATTTGCGTCTCTTTTTGATTCTGCTATTCAAGGTACACTGAAGTGACTTTGTTATTTCTTTCCTTTAGGTTTGAAACTTAGAAAATATGAGATTGGTAAAAGGAAATGTTTTGGCATTTCATATGTGTGACCCTAGGCAATACATTGAGATATTCTGGTGACTAAGTTAAAAAAGAAGAAGAGCAATTAATGAAAGATTAGAACTAGTTGATGCAGCTAGAAAAAGAAAAAAAGAAAAAAAGAGGAACTAGGTAATGTTTGTTTAGTTACTGATGGAATTCTTTAGTTGGAAGAAGGAAGCACCCTGGACTGACAAGGACCATTCATATCAGAATAGAATTTTGACAAGTTAGGTCTTCAGCACTTTCTGTCTTCTATACACCATGCATGAGCTTACCTGCCATGTTTTAGATAGGCTGCTGAAGGGTGGGAGATGCTGTTATATGAGGCCTTATAGGATGTTGGTTCTGAGGCTTGGGGACTGGAGTTTTGGCTTGGGTGGGGGAGAAGGTGGAGGGGGAGCAAACAGCTGTCAAAACCTGGATATCCTTTCTGTTTGCTATCATTTCTTTTTCATACATTACAAGTACAAACAAATGAATAGAAATTTTTTGGAAATAAATGCACGCCACAACCTGGACTCTCTTAATTGGCTATTATTAATCATGCAACATGTATATAGCTGTTTAACTGGTTAGCCATGCACAGTACATTAGTTATAATGTCTTAGTCTGATTCTGCAGGGTTGATGCCAATTCGTGATCTCATGTTAAGATTTGAAAAATCATGCCGGGATGTTTCAGAGTCCATTAGGTGAGTCTGATGCTGGGTTAGAATATTGAGTTTCTATTATGTAATCCGTTGCTCTATATTGTCATGAGTAGGATAGAAGGATGTAATTTAACAGCTTTTAATCCATTCACTTGCAATAGAATTCCTTCAGTAATGACGAGCTTTACAGTTAAAAGAGAAGTTTTAAGTGCTATTATTTCAACAGGTATGGGCCCAATATATGGCATCGGGTTGTAGAGGACAAATTGATGAGACAGAAGGCTCAGTTCTTGCTTGACGAGGCTGCTACATGGTCTCTCCTTTGGTACCTCTATGGGAAAGGCAATCAACCCTTATCCTCTAATACTTCCCTGCTTGAAATTGATGCTTGTGATGATCAAGTGTTCCATAATTTTTATGGTTTATCAAGTCTCTTAAAGTTCTTTGGCTTGAATCTTGAGGTTGCTTATTGCTCTTGTATGTTACATTGTGTGTTGGTGGGGTTTTGGGTGGGTGCTTGTGACTTGTTTGTTGGGGGGGGGGGGGGGGCTTT